TTTAATCCTGATTCATAACCTTTGAGAAGGATTCATAACCGTTTCTTGTCATTGATCTCGGTGAACGGTGCGTCCAAATATGCCAGGTCGCACAGTGAGGCCCGCCGACTCCAGCTATTAATAGACCCGAGAAACCTAAAAGTGTGCCGGTGGTAGGAGGCGACTAAATGGACAGCTGGTCAGGCTCAGTGACCTTGTTGTTGGCATATCATCGTATTCTGAAGGCTTTGATGGATGATATTTTATCGATCGCTGGATTCTCTGTCCCAGACTCGATTGTTTACAACCTTTTGTCATGTAGCTGGAATATTGCTATATTGGAGCGTGGGTTTTAACATTGAAGCAAACAAACAGCGAAAGCGGAGCAGTCCCTGGTCGAATCAACAAACAATGAAGGTTACATTCATACGCCACCCATTGACCTTTACATTCAAATTTGATAATGTGTGAACCGAAGGAGAGGTATGTATCTATCTGAACCTGGTTCTACAGTGGAACGAGTGCACCAGACTCCCCTGCCACCCCAGGAACATATGTTCGTTTGGAAAGTTGTGCTGTTCATATTGCTAGTGTTATTTTTGTCAGTAATGTACTATTCACACTTTGCTAAGGATCAAGTCATTGATTCAACAGAAGACTATGATGTGGGGTCCAAATTGGTTTAAATATCTCAGCTTATTGTAAGCATGGATCCTAGATTTCAGTATGTCACTGCATCTTATGGATCCCATACCTGCTATTGACAGGTGTTGTGTACTTGTCAATGACCGGTGCCATGATTTGCGAAAGGGTTGATTGGTGCCATGACAACCATTTTTTATGGTTACTCATGTATCAAGTTCATAAGGTTAGAATAAAGTGGCTGTTTCCCTAAAGAAGGGTTACCAAATTATTATTTATCCAGTTTTAAATGGATAAAATTTCAAATTATAAATTTATATTTAAGTAAAGTTGGGAATTTTTGTGATCCTTAGCAAAGCGTGAGTAGTATATATACATTATGCAGCGCTTCATTCGTGCCATACATCCACGACTTTTGACAGATATGTTTTGTTTTTTCAAATTTATAGCTTGTCCATCACCTAAGTTAACCGTTTTCAATCAATTGCATTTTGGTATATATATAACAGCAATATGATACAGATAGGTTTCTTTTAAGTAACATATAATGAGATGCCCGTTCACATGGCAAAAACGAGTTTTCAGATTTGCTGATACATTTTGTTAATCTCTTGCAATAGCAAAGTCAAGTAAAACATGTTAAACAAGGGTGAAACTGTCATCGTAGGGGGTACACTCAGAGGTTCGTCCTCGGCTGTATTAAGGAGATATTCATAAGTAAACTGACCGTGGACAGTACGAGATCGTTGCAAAATACCGTCACTATAATAATTATTTTGGCTCATAACCTAAACAGGTATGACTGATTGAAATTCATATTAATGACTATAAAACAGAGCTCTTGGCGATGTGCCCAAGTCGTGTCCTAAACAAGTGTTCAGTGTTACAGTTCATGACTGGCTAATGCATCGTTGCTCAGTGTTCAAGTGTTCACAAACTTGACGAAACCTTTGACTCCTCTCTGATCCTCCAGTTACATACATGCAAGTCACCGCCATCATCAGATGATCATACATCGTATCCGGGACCAAGATCTGAAAGGTTTACTATGCAAAAATATTGAAACGCAAAGTAGTTTTGAGTTGTATACATTATCTATAATATTAACAATCAACAGATCATAATAATTTGTTCAAATTTGGCACAGGTCATTGTCACTGATCGACGTTCAATGTGGCACACGTGAAACAGTCTAATTGCAAGGTGAAGGACATCTGTTCTCCATGGTTTGTGAATCATGAGAGTCCAGGACTGTCCAGCATTTTCGCCTCTTAGACAAATCAGATGACTGTGGCCAGGGTTTTGTTCACCCACTCTTCCTGCAGTGCTTGTGACAACTGTTTAGTACCGACGTCATCGCAAACATGGCTTAAAAGCATCCCATAAATGTTCGATGGGGCTTAGATCTTGAGACCATGAAGGTCATGCCAGTACTTGGATGTTGTGGTTCCTCACAAAGACTTGCTGCGTGAGGTCGGGTGTTGTCACGTGTTGAGCCCTGCGTCTGATAACGGTTCGATAGTCTCATAATTGTGCTTAGCCATGCGGGGATAAGCCTTGCTAAGGCCGAAGCCGAGTCGTCTGTTTGCAGTCGGCCAATGTCGTTGTTGCGTTGAGCTTCTGTCAGTCGTGGCATGTTTCCACTTTCCACTTGCTTGACGTGCAATTGTGATGACAGGCACATGAAAACCAATCCTTTCCATATCCCATCAATTCATGTTACACGTCCATTCATGTAGTGTGTGTTGGCGCCACGCTAAAAAGTGGTTCCGTTTTTGCGTTTCCCCTGCGTTTTCGGTACATGTATTTTGGGGGCGGACTTTTTGGGTGGAGTAGAAGTATGGATGTCTGACTGACTGAGCTTTAGGCTTTAAGCCGCTTTTAGCAATATTCCAGCAACATCACGGCGGGGGGCACCAGAAATGGGCTTCACACATTGTACCCATGTGGGGATTCGAACCCGGGTCCTCGGCGTGACGAGCCAACGCTTTAACCACTAGGCTACCCCACCGCCCCTAGAAGTATGGATGAATGAGTGAGTGAGTTAGTTATTATTTAACGTCACATCGGCAATATTGCAGCCATATCGTGACGAGAACATATTTGATTTTGAAGTGGAATATATGTATATTATAAAAACCTGTCGACGAAGGACAGTAAAACAACTAGAATATCACAATTAGAATTAAAACTAGCGTGGAAAGTTTAAAACTAATAGCACTATTGGGACAATACAATATAAAAACAGGCTATAGATCGCCAACAACAAAAGGTAGATCACCATACTAGGGACCATGGGGACTTACAGTACCTTTGCTACCTGCATGGACCCTAGTTGGATTTACACCATCCCTTCAGCCATTGGCGATTATAAGAAATGTTAGCCAAAATTAAAATAACAAGAATACTACGTTTGAAAATCCTGGTAAGTTTAAATTGACCTTCAAAGTTGTGGGACTTACGTACCCTCTCAGGGGGACAATAATTTTACGATACTTCAACCCCCCTTGAGGGTACAGCCACTAACAATCTAAGTTACTAATCAAAACTACCAATCATTAAAACACATCTATCTACAGAACATATTTATCAAAATTCATTAATTAAATCAATTTCATTTAAAAAAGCAAGAATTAAATGAAGATGAACAGTATTAAAAAGATCCTTAACAGTTTTAACATTGAAATATTTATCCCTTATGATGGAGAATTCAACACAGTCAATATGGATGAATGAATGGAAGTATGAAATACCCCCTTGTCACTACTTCCCGTTCCTGTTGTCAGTATGTTGCTGATGTCCAATGTATGAAGAATAATGTTGCCATTGTGTCGGACAGTACTTCCTGGTTTACGGTGTCCAAGAACTATCATAGCTAATCAAGACCCTCGCGCGTGATCTTGCTGGAAATCACAGAATAACGTCATCATCTGCTGAGATTTGAACGCTCGGGTAGGTGGGCGCAACAACGCACCAGAGACACTCGACCATCACGGTCTAGACGAAGCTGCGTTCCCAAAGGAAGCCTCTGCGCCAGTAAATGAGAGACAATCATTCGACAGTTTTATATATCGCAACAAGGTTGTAGTGTAGTTGACTACTTTATTGGTACTGCTGATTTATTTCATATGTATAATGATCTTATAATAGATTCTAGAGTCGAATCAAAACATATGACTGTGATTCTTTGTGTTGATTCTGTAACATCTCCTATCCACGAACTCGCAGGTGATATATCTCTTTTGTATAAGCTTTACTTGCAAGTGGAATGATAATATGGCTGCGGAATGTTATGTTTCCCCCAGTAACTCATATCTTTCATTACAGGATATGATTTATAGAGTTGACGATAACCTTAATAAGAGTTTATATATGTTTGTGAAAGCTGGTCTCTCCGCATCTGAATGTATGAATAAAAAAAGTTAAAAGTGGGTCAGTTGGTATTAATAGAGGATTGTATTATTTGAACTGTAAAAAAGCTGCCACTAATAATGATACATCTGTCCAAAACGATAAACTACTTGATCATCTTGATACAATATATGTTCTTGAATCCCCTATAACTGTAACATATGTTATATTTGGGAGTACACACTCTTAGTAAAGTACAGATTCTAGTACTTTTGTTGGGTTGAGTCCCATCCGGGATTCGAACCCACATCCTCAGAGTCAGGCACCTAATCGCCCCTATAACTGATTCAGAAATTCATGTTGCAATTCAGCTTTTTAAAATAGTAAATCCCAGGAAATCATATCAAAGTTGAAATGATGAAAAGTTCAGAATAAGTCATCATCCCGTTTCTGAGAAAAAAAATTAACAAGTTGTTTAATGAAGCTTTATTCCCGGACCAGTGGTCAAATGCAATTATCATCCCGCTTCATAAAAAGGGTAATAAAGATAATCCTGAAGATTATAGAAGAATATCTATTCTTTACACTTTGAGTAAAATTTCTACATGTATCATACTTAACGCGAGATTGACAAATAGGGCTACTCTAAGATACAAATTTACAGAAATCCAGGCTGGTTTTAGAAACACATTTTCACGCCATACGCTTTCATTAAAAACTTTGAAGAAGAAAAAGAAGTTATATGTCGCCTTTGTCGACTTCAGAAAGGCCTTAGATTCGATCGACCGTAAGAAGCTATGGAATGTCTTTATGCATCTGGTTTAAGTGGAAAGATGCTTAGAGCACTGGAAAGTATTTATAGATCTGTTAAAAAGGATGTGTAAAAAGTAATAAGATTTTTACAGACTATTTTGAATGTCCAAAAGGACGACCCATGGTCCCTAGTATGGTGATCTACCTTCAGTTGTTGGCGATCTATAGCCGGTTTTTATATTGTCTTGTCATTTATAGTTAATGTATTTTAGATTTAATTACTAGTTTTAAATTTATTTCTGTGATAATCTAGTTGTTTTACTGTCATTTGCAGACAGGTAAGTATATATGCTAACTTTCTTTTTATTTATGTGACTGTAAATTTTTACTCACTCACTCACTCCAAAAGGATGAACGCAGGGATGCATTTTAAGTCAACTCATTTTCTCGTTTTTTATGAATGAATTGTCATTTGAAATAACACAACAAGGACCATTTGGCATGCAATTATTTCCAGATATGATCAAAATTTATTATTATTATTATTTGCTGATGATGTGATTTGAGTTTCTGATGTTATATCGGGTCTGCAAAGACAACTAACAATTCTAGAATCATATGCAGACACGTGGGGATTGACAGTTAATCTAGAGAAACCTCAGATAGTTGTATTTTCAGAAGAGGTGTCCCGTTACCGAGAAATGAGAAATGGTTTTATAAAGGTGAACGTGTTTAAACAGTTGATTCGTACTTATATCTAGGTATTCCTTTATCATCTTCTTGTAACTTCAATAAATGTACATTAGATTTATCATCTCGGGGTAAAAGGGCACTTATAGAAGTATTACATCACTTATATAAATTTAACAATGTTAAGTATTCTGTATTTTTCAAATATTTGATACTCAAAGTCAACCAGTTCTTTTGTTTGATGCCGAAAGGTGGGGTAATAATATATTTTATAAGATTGAAAATGTACATTTAACTGCCTGCAAGAAATATTTAAATGTCGGTCCTCAAACACTACATGTAATTGTTTATGATGAATGCGGACGTTACCCACTGTACATAATTGTACAATGGCGTTTTATAAAATACTTGCTTAAACTTGTAAATATGCATCAGCAAAGAATTAAAAAACTTATGGTATGTTAATGTATTATGATAATTTTGGTTACGATAACTGTTTCCTCTGTGCGTAATTTATTGTTTTCATATGAATGTAATTTTGTTTGGTTATTTCAAGGTGTTGGTATTGAATTCCAGTGTCTTCAGATGTTTAAAAGAGTTGCAGTTGACATGTTTATATAGACATGAAATAGTCTAATTGAAGAAAGTTCAAGGTATAGGCTGTACAGACAATATAAAAGCATTTTAGAACCAGAAATATATTTAACTTTGTTAACAAAAAACCCAAAAAACATTGAAATATTCTTACTAGGATCAGACATTTCTTGTCGTGGCAAACACATGCATACTATTCAACGGCAAATGAAGCTGTGTTTAAACAAAATAAATACATGGTGTCTTGAAAACGGCTTTAAATTTTTGAAATTGAAACCTAATTATATACATTTTTGATGTAAATACAAACCGCATAAAGACCCTGAACTATTTCTAAATGGCACCCCCATCAAAGGTGTGAAAGAAGCCAAGTTCCTGGAACTTATTTTCGACTCCCGTTTAACATTTTTGACGCATATTAAAAACCTTAAAGCCAAATGCGTGAAGGCACTCGATTTGTTAAAAGTTGTTTTCAATTCAAAGTGGGGAGGGGACCAAACTACCCTCCTACACTTATACAGATCACTCATCCGATCCAAACTTGATTACGGCTCCATCGTACATGGTGAAGCCTGTAAAGGCAACCTCAAAATACTAGATTCTACCCACCACCAATGTCTAAGACTTTGTCTTGGATCCTTCAGGACTTCTCCTTTTGACAGTCTCTATGTAGAGGCCGATGAGCCATCTTTATGATATCGCCCTACCAAATGAGCTTTGCAATATCTCACAAAACCTTATTCCAGTGAGTCAAACCCTGCTTACAAGTGCGTTTTAAATCCTCCTTATGAGGATTTGTATAATAAAAAATCTTCACTTGTTCCACTTGGGATAAGAATCCAACCATTCATTTCTGCTGCTGCAATGAGTAGGAAAATATACTACCCATCAAAGGTTTAGACTCACTAGTGTAAATGTAGCCACTTACTTCAGTTAACTGTTCTAAACTAGACTTTGCAAAATATTCCATACTGTTTTAATGTACTGTTTACACATGAACTGATGTATTTTACAACAAATTCGTAACGTTGAAAATATTATTGTCATGAGTTCAATAAATGATGAAACTCAGTGAAAATTGGCGAATTCTTAACAACATTTACACCAAAACGCAGATGTTCACATGCATTTCAGCAGTTTGATGCATGATCCTCGTGTAATTCATCTGCATAAGGTTTGCAGTTGGTTCCCCTAAGTTAGTGGAGAAATTCATCTTCGATGTAACCATATATATATATATACATACATGCATAACTTATAGTGAGTCTAAACCTTTGATCGGTAGTATCTCCTTTCCGTCTTTTCTCGACTCCTCCCTGGCAATTAGTAAGGCCCCAAGTCGACCTTACCTTGACCACAATACGAAAGTCGGAAACCAATGAATTACAATAAAGACAGGAATTTAATCAATTAAGAAATAATTATAGTAAATACAAATCTTTATGTACAGATGGGCCCAAGGACGGTGGCGCAGTTGCTTGTGCCACTGTCATTGGATCCGGAACAATACATGTATCTTCTAGAATACCGGACAACAGTTCTGTTTTCACAGCAGAAACACATACAATACTGACAGCTCTTAAATATATCAATAGACACCCTGAATATATACAATATATAATCTTTTCAGACTCCCTTTCTTGCCTTTAGGCTATTAAACATTTGTCTTCTCAATACCCACTTTTAATTGAATTATATAATGATCTTGCAACTGGTCAATACGACATCATCTTTTGTTGGTTACCTAGTCATGCTGGAATCAATGGCAACACGATGGCTGATGCTGAAGGTAAAGTAGCACTTTACAAATATGAGACACCACTTCTTATCCCATACTCAGATTATAAAGCTGCGATTACATCTTACATACGTGATCTGATGCGGAAGAAGTGGGACACCCAAGTAGGTATTAATAAATTGGGTGAAATAAAACCCTATTCTGGTTATACCTACTTGGGTTGTCAGTCCAGATTTGAGGAGACCATTATACGACGTTGTCGAATTGGCCACACAAGATATACACATGAAAGGTGAGGATCATCCGTTTTGTATCCTTTGTGATGACAGAATCGCGGTCAAGCATGTCCTACATGACTTGTTTTCCACCACAAGGGATAAATATTCCACTGTTAAAACTGTTGGGGATCTTTTAATAATGTTAATTATCATTTTATTATCGAATTTTGAGTGATATGTTTTGTAGATAGATGTAATTTTATAATTGAAAGTTTGAATCAGTTATTGAGATGGTTAGTGGCTGTATCCTCAAAGGGGGTTGAAGTACTGTAAAAATATTGTCCTCCTGAGAGGATACGTAAGTCCCAAAACAAAGTCGATTTAATCTCTCCACTCTTTTCAATCGTAGAATATGTGTCATTTTAATGTATGGCTAGATTTCTCCGAATTGCTAACAGTTGAAGGGATGGTGTAAATCCAGCTAGGGTCCATGCAGGAAGCAAATGTACTGTAAGTCCCCATGGTCTCTAGTATGGTGATTTACCTTCAGTTGTTGGCAATCTTTAGCCTGTGTTTGTATTGTATTATTTTCTTTAATATCTCGTTTTATGATATCATGCAAGTTTTATTTTAATATTTGTGATACACTGGTAGTTTTACTGTTTTCGTCTACATGCTTTTAATTTCTAATTTTATTGTTCTATATTACAATAATTAGTTGTTGTCGTCACGATATGGCTGAAATATTGCCGATGTGACGATAAATATTAACTCACTCACTCATTTAATTATTGATTTTTTAATAGGAATAGACTTAATTGATAAAATCTGTTTTGTAGATAGATGTACGTTTATAATTGGTAGTTTGGATCAGCAACTGAAGCGGGTTGAAGAAGTGTAAAATTATTGTCATCCTGAGAGGGTACGTAAGTCCCTAAACATTCAAGGTAAATTTATATTTACCAGAGTTTTTAATCGTAGCATTTTTGTGATTTTGAATTCTGGCTATCTTTGACTACAATCGCCAGCGGCTGAAGTAATAGTGTAAATCCAACTAGAGTCCATGCAAGTAGCAAAGGCACTTTAAGTCTCCATGGTCCCTAGTATGCTAATCCTTCAGTTGCTGGTGATCATTAGCCCGTTTTAGATCGTATTGTTCTCCTTAGTGATATGATTTTTTATTATAACGTTAACATTCTAGTATTACCTTACTATCTTTGATACTCTAGTAGTCTTACTGTCCATCGTCGACAAGTTTAAAGCTTCAAAATATATTCTTCTGTATTTCATAAACTGTCCTCGTCACGATTTGGCTGAAATATTGCCGTTGTGACGATAAATATTAACTCACTCACTTACTAGGATCAGAGCGGAAATTTTAAAACTAAAGGCTAATGAGGGACGGTGGTTGGATGATTTTATATGTAATATGTAATAAAGGAATAGAAGATGAATTTCATTTTATATTTATATGTGAAAGTTATAATAATCTAAGAAACTGATATTTACCACAAATGAACAACGACAATCTGTCTATAAATTTCATCAATTGTTATCTTCTACATCAACTGAATTATTGAATAATCTTTGTAAATATATATATTTGAGCTTTGAGGTAAGACAGCGGCTGATTAATGGATAATGTATTTGTAAGCGAATCATGAAAACCCCTAAAACTCATACCATTGTGAAGAACTCAGCTGCCTCTTTTACCATTGTTTGAGGCAATGCGCTTTGAGCATACCTTCATGACGTGGATATAGCGCAATATAAGTGCCATTATTATTTTCATTATTATTACGTTCAATTATACGTGTTTATAATGTACCTATGATATATTCATCAGTGCAATAATTATTTGTGTTTTGTATATGGGCTGAAGGCCTTCATACAAAATAAAAGACTTTACTTGAATTTGGGAAGTGTTTGACTTCAATGAAAGGAGTCCATATAGGAATATTTTACTGAAATTTCAGCTGCTTTTCGTAAGTGAACAAACCTCCACAATCTGTTTTAATAAACGCATTTCCACACAGCAACAACCTATTGTATAACTTTATCAAGTCACAAAATGGCCGAAATATTGCCCAAACTCCCAAAACTCCACATAGCATCAACATTGTTAGATATATATACAACAACATAATCACATATAAGAACATTTTATGCTGCAATTACAGTGATTATAAGTGCTGTGTTCGCCGTCGTTGGACTTGCGTAGTGTATATTGACAGTCTTGAAATATTTTATCCGTGCACTCTATTGTAGTTCACACTCCTCTATATTGACACTGTCCATGACTACACAATGCCATTTAGAAAGTGGTCAAATGTAACATATGTTATATTTGGGATTACACTCTCTTAGTTAAGTACAAATTCTTGTACTTTTGTTGGGTTGAGTCCCATCCGGAATTCGAAACCCACACCCTCAGAGTCATGCACCTAATCGTCAGCACACAAAGTCAGCCGCGTAGAATCGTGGAGGTCGCCGTGGCTGAGCGGGTTATGCGGCTGACTTTGTGTGCTGGTGATTGGGTGCCTGGTTCTGAGGGTGTGGGTTCGAATCCCGGATGGGATACAACCCAATAAAAGTACAAGAATCTGTACTTTACTCAGAAAGTGTAATCCCAAATATAACATGTTATATTCACTGTCCAATCTGTAAATATGAAATTCCACACTGCACTAGTATAGTGATACCTCATCCTTTCGTAAACATGTGGTATCAAGCTTATTATATGGTCGGAAACGTACAATCGACAGATTTCTAATGATGATTGAACGTGTTTAGTAGCCTTAATGTTTATCTTTAATAAATTGCATACCCAAGATAAGTCCCCATCTGGCAGAGTAAACAATTGTTTGTGTACAGTCAACACATGGAATTACAGGATTACAGGACCATATGAAAGAACATAATCCGTTGATATATTATAACGTGGTACAATGAGGGAAGACGCAGGGAAGAATATCAATTCTAATTTCAACACGAGAGTAATTCTGCCTACGTCTCATATGTTTTCTTTGTCGTCATCTGTCTGGTTGTAATTGGGATTCATATATACTGAACCACAAAAGAAACGTCGCCTTTCAAAACCAAATGCGAAATTTTGTTCTTGCAAGGTGGTGTTTTTATTATGATTGTTCGGTTTTGTTAACATGTTTTTCAATCCAAATAGACAATTATTGCCAACATCAGTGTGTTTTCTGATGAAAAAGCATATCGACCAAACGCACCGAAAAAGGCAGACATGGTAAACGGTTCCGTATGACATTCGTGAAAATGAAAATGCACGTGCATGTCGTGACAACCATACCAATGAAATCATTATTGTTTTGACACAGTCACCATGCCACGACTTACGAGAGATCAGAGGAACTAACCTTTGGGAGGATTGGAAGTTGGCCATACTGCACGGAGGGTAGCCAATCATTCTAATGTTCATGTTAGGACAATCTACCGACTGCAGGAGTGGTATCAGGTCACTAACAGCATCCGAGATCAAAGACCGTTAAAGCAGTGGGCGACCTTCAGTAACATCACAACGTCAAGACCGACAGATGGTGCGCACCCATCTGCAGGATCGCTTCCCCAGAGCGACGGAAACAGCACGCCAGACCATTGGGACTCACAACCCATCAGTGCTGATACAGTGCGTCGACGTTTGCGCGGACGAAACCTCTGCTGTGATAGATCATAGTCCTGTCCTCACGGCTCATCACCGCCAAAACCGACTGCAATGGGCAATTCAGCATCGAAATTGGCGTTATCGACAATGGAGAACTGTGCTTTTATCTCATGAAAGCCGATATTGTGTTTCGACAGTCGATGGCAGAGTGAGAGTATGGTGAAGGCATGGGGAACTGTTTCCAAAATGACTATTGTTGAAGGAGACTCGTGGGGTGGTGCAAGCATCATGGTGCGGGGTGCAATCGGTCTGAACCAGTTAGTTGACACTGTGGTGTTCCATTGGGCTTCCGAGACAACATGGCATCCAAACCCTACAATAGCCTGCACTCAGTCCGGATTGAAGTCCAGTAGAACACCTTTGATTCAAAGAAGACTGAATAACCTCCAACCAAGGCCGACAACTGCGGCAGGACTCGATCAGGCATTTCGCAGAGTATGAACCCAAGTGCCTATGGCCTTCATCAACCGGCTAATTCATTCCATGTACAGACGATGCAACGATTTCATCGATGCCCATGGAGGCCATACACAATACTGACATTGGGGTATCTTAATGGTACCATTTTTGGTGATTTTGATTGTGTGAACTCTAAATGTGATTTCCGCAAATGTATTAAGTAAACCATAATTGTCAAGTTTGAACTCATTCCTCCGTTTTGATTGTTAATTAGAGTGAATTAAAGTGTGTGCTTTAAGAAACCGCTATCGGCACGACAGTTTTTTTGTGGTTCAGTATACATGTACGTGTGTGTGACTGACATAAGAGAAGACACATGCTTAAGCCGCAAACTATTAGGGAAATGTATCCTTTAAACAATTACAATCCGCAAATGCATGAATTGAACACTTATGCGAAACACTTATGCACTGGCATTACTGTTACCGGAAGGGGAGGACAAGCTTACACTGCACTGAATTCAATTAGCTGGAAAAGTTAGACTGGCTATTTTCTAGCATTGACGTCAATAATCATATCAAACGCTTCTACTGTGGTTTTCCCGGTTAGCAACTTAAACGACATTTGCAAAAATAGCTTGCTACTCTAGCACTGTGTATAGCTGTGTCTGTACCATCGGTGCGTGTGTGTGTGTGTGTGTGAGAGAGAGAGAGAGAGAGAGAGAGAGAGAGAGAGAGAGAGAGAGAGAGAGAGAGAGAGAGAGAGAGAGAGAGAGAGAGAGAGAGAGAGAGAGAGAGAGAGAGAGAATGAGAGAGAGAGAGAGAGAGAATGTGAGAGACAGAGAGAGAATGTGTGAATGAATGTACATAATTCTTTGGAGGAAACTGGTATATAAACACTATATCCCATGATCACTGGAAAGGAACGGCTGACTATTTTGTGTTTCACGGTCAGCGTGATAAATAATATTCCCTTAGGTATAGCGTTGTTATGCCAGACACGGATAACGTTGACTGGACCCGTGGCACTATGTCTATTGTAGAAGGACACATTGTCCAAGTGCCCTAGATGCACGTATACCAGACAAACTAGAACTCATTATCATCGCATACAATGTAGTACAGAAACCATTGTGGATGGAGATTACATGACGAGTCATTTCACCTTGTAATGAAACATCGAGGCAGCTTTAGCAGTTCATGTAATTAAAACCTGGATCACATTTGCCACAGGCGCCGTACGATAAAGTAGTCTTCCATTTTCCGTACGTTTTTTAAGGCATCGTGGGTGACTGCGGGCTACGACGTTTGTGTTTACATTGTCTACGGGCATCGTGCGATTTCCTTCCGGACAGCAAAAGTAATGTAAGTCCCCATGGTCCCTAGTATGGTGATCTACCTGTAGTTGCTGGCGATACTCAGTCCGTTTTTAAATGGTATTTTCCTAATTTGAAATCCAATTTTAGAGATAGATGCTAGTTTTAACTTTTGATACTGTGATGTTCTAGTTGGTTTTACTGTCCTTCGTCGACAGGTTTTTAAAATTTATGCATTTATCATGGATAAGTTATAACTATAATGTACAGTTTTTAGGCCTAGATTCACCAGTATATGGAAGAGCACTGGGTGCAAACTCACGTTTTTGTATAGCTCAAGATAGGACCTAAACGTAAAGGCAATCTACAAAGGCCCAACAGCCTGCTGAAATTGAACAACCTGTTGAAACTGAATTCGAGAGGACTGACGCTGATGACGAGTTAGAAGATGAAGATGCTGCCGCCAACGACAGATTGGTGCTTTATTTTTAGGATCTGGACCTATAGTTATGATATAAGTCATGGAAACTTGACAAATAAGGAATTAAGAGATGTGGAACTGAGCTAGACAAATGAACTGCTAGGGATTGCCAAGGTTTACGCAATCCCTCCCTTCATTACAAGGTGAATCTGACTGTACAGGCAAGCTTTTAACCAAACGTGGAACTGCAACGATCGAGAAACGAACGTTCTGCTGACCTTGAAGCCCGCATCACTAGTGCTGACGGTATCTTTGAAGGTGTTCCAGCCTGCTCCGCCCTTATCACATGTCCCGATACAACATTTGATTGGTTTAAAGTTACATCATTTAATGGTCTCATGTCGTACCTCATGATCGGAAAATTACTGTAAACTACCTATCGGTGATTATTGATGACTCACCGTAACTAATCCTTTAAGAGTCTATTGGATTTTGTTACTCCCAGTTATTATGTTCTATATCCCTTGGTGCGGAAGGTCGCGGGTTCGATCCCCGACCGTGTCATACCAAAAGACGTTAAAATATGGTACTTGTTGGTCCCTGCCTGTCGCTCGGCATTAATGGGTACAACAAGGACTGGTCGGCACGGAGTCAGTATAATGTGTCTGAGTGGGGTATTCATGCTTCACCGCGGCATGGTATCTCAGTGGGCTAGCACTATAAAACCAGCTTAAGTCTGGGCTAGTACAAGCAGCCGCACATACACACGCATGCACGTCGTCATATGAGCGAAATATTCTCAAGCACGACGTTAAACCCAATTCCACCACCACCACTATATCCCTTGATTAATTACCAATGTGATCGTGCTGCGGATATCCCACGGCCCTACGATCGCAGTACGATTTTCGGCGAAACCACATTATCAGTGGTTCAAGGGAGGTTATTCTCTCTCACTACATCGGACATGCGAATGTGGGCCCACATTCGAAACTAAACAACATTTGAAACGTTATCGACACGAAATCAGAAATATCTGACGTGATAAATACTCATAATTTACAACCTAAGCGTCACTTATTGATACAAAATATATGAAATAGTTAGTACAAAGTAAAACAATAGCAAACGACACGGGTATTTTGCCGCGAAACTAGGTCGTGAAGTCGTTCATATTCATGAGTGTATTCCTTTCGTGGAACGGTTCACGCGATATCTCATTCGTAACTACTCGTGTCATTCCGGCAAGCCGGATGTAGGTCACGGAAGGAGGCGAGTAGTTACGAATGGCAATATCTATGACACCATTAGTT